ATATAATCTCTATCATTTTTACTGTAGTTTATCATTGCCATTGTTTACTGTTCTGTCTGGAGCAGGTCTCTTGTAAACGAGTCCTTGTGGCTCAATGAAGCCAACCTGTATAAATAAAAGGTTGAATAAATCATTATGTATATCTATATATTCATTCAACCTTTATTGATACAGGTTAGTCCCATTGAGCCAACAGGACTCATTTACAAGAGAGACCTGGATTTTAACAGAGTGATGACAACAGTGCATAACAAACTGTTTTTCAATTGTAAAACAAACAAACAATAAAAAAACTTAAAATTGTATGAATCATTTGTGAATGTGTATTGTTGTTGTTGTTGTTGTTATCACTGTCTTATTATCTTGTGCTCTGGTCCAGTGTCTTCATGGACGATGTGTGTGAGGGTGGACATGTTTGGAGGTTGCTGTGTTGAAGCTCCATGGATCAGCCTCTCTGCAGCTCTCAGCACCTTCACTGAGCCTTGAGGGAATCACTGAGCTGCTCTTGTTCTTCACAGATAGAAGGTGGGAGCTCTCGTCAAATGATGATCTCCAGCATCATCTTGTTCATGCCAGGCTTTTCATCCACTGACCACAGACACCTGGAAACATCAGGGGGACCAGTTTAACACATCTGGAAGGAAACCAGTGAGATTTTAATATGACCATGACCATTATGCTATGATGTTATGCGGGGGAGTGGTGGAGCAGAGGTTAGAAGATGGGCCTGTGATCGGAAAGTTGCAGGTTCAACTCCCGGTACCGTCAACATTAAAATGAGGTGGAAAAGGTGAAACACCCACACCTGCCTCCGCCTTCATTGGCCCCACCCTGGTCCCCTGAGCAAGGCACCTAACCCCCCACCATCTGCTCCTAAACAGGTCTCTCTTGAAAATGAGTTCTCGTGACTCAATGAGACTACCTGTGTAAATAAAGGCTAAATGAAAAAATAAAAGTTTAAAATAGAAATACATCATTAGGCCAAGGTTGTGTGTGTGACGTGCACGTTCCTGAGAGTGTGTGTGTGACGTGCACGTTCCTGAGAGGCCACAGACAGAGCAGCTCCAGCTTTTGTTGAGTTCCTGTAGTCCTGCAGTTTTCAAGCTGAAATGAAAAAGCATCATGAATAGGAACTTTACAGTCTATAGTTACCTGTTCATATAAACACGCAGAGGTATCTCACCTTGTGACTGACAATAAAATATGTAAATTTATGAACTCTAATGAACTTATAATGATGCTCCTACTCTTTGAAGGTGAACCGATGGTACCACACCATCTCTCAGTCGGACAGTCTGATCAGTTTGATCAAAATCCTCCAGTTTAAAATCCTCACTGCTCAGATGAATCCTCCTCAAAGATACTTCCTCCTCTTCCTCACATCTTGTTCTTTGGGAAACCTTCAAAATGAAAAAAAGGAGATTTGTGTCAACACAAAAACATTGTACAGAGGAGGTCGAGCTTATTTTCTATTTCCTATATTCTCCCTAGTTTTATTTTTTTTATTTCCTAGAACTTAAACAAAACTCCAATTATGATACATATCTGTTGATAATGAACCAAAGCTACTGAAATAGTGAGTATGCTTGTTAGAAAAATATTCCTGTCATCAGATCTCAGTCAGCTTCATTGCAGCTGAACACCGTGTTACACTGAACATCACATCAGCTGGTGGACATAAATACAGTACAGTAATATTATATTCACAAAATACTAACAATAATATGTTCATCTTACTAGTGAAAAGTTATCCCCCGAGACCTGACGTCAACAGTCCGTCGATCTGAACAGAAATAAGCTGCGAAGTGCTGAAACATCTGCTTTAACCAAATAAGGACGACCGTTTCAAGATGGCGGCCGAAAATCCTGCGCCGCAGCAGCCAATGAGGCATCTAGTGTTTATATCTATGGTGCTGACATCAGAGGCGAACTCTCGCAGACCAGTCGGCATCTCGCGAGAGTTCAGTTTCCTTCCTACTAATTATGGAGGTCGGTGGGAATGGTGGTGGAATACCTGTAAACAATAAACAAAGAGCGATGCTACCTAATAAAAGCAGGGGTGAATTCCCTCGAAATTCAAGGAAAGACTCAGAGGTACGTAGAGAGAAGTGTAACTTAATTTATCTGGCGGTGTCAGATAAAAGACGAGGCTAACGTAACCTGAGCTAGCTCAGTCAGTCGTGTTGTTTATCTCTAATACGATTATCCTGTTAGTAGAGCAACATAGTAGAGCTAAACTAGTGTAAATGTTTGCTTAGCTGTGAAATGCTCAGTTTATACCACCTGGTAAGTTATTTTTGTGTTCAACATCAGTATATGTCAGCACAGCAGGGAGAAGCTAGCTGACGTTAGCAGACAGGCCAGACTGTCAGATGTCAATTTCTGGTCAATTGACACATTTTGGGTACTCATTTATTTAGTAGTGACTGTGCAGTTTTACCGAAGATTTACTGTATTGGATTATTATGAAGTAAACACAGGTGATGTGTGATTAGTCAAACATTAATCCCTATTGGTTTAAACTATAAACATTCAGTAGAAAGAACTGGAAGTGGCAGAAATGAAGATGTTGAGGTTCTCCTTAGGAGTGACAAGGATGGATAAGATTAAGAATGAGATCATCAGAGGTTCAGCACAGGTTGAACAACTGGGAGATAAAGTTGGAGAGACCAGACTGAGATGGTTTGGACATGTCCAGACAGTGGGTATATTGCTAGAAAGATGTTAGAAATGCAGCTGCCAGGAAAGAGACAGAGGAGACACATGGATGCAGTAAGAGGATATGGAGGTAGGTGGAGTGAGGACAGAGTGAGATGGAGGATAACTCGCTGTGGCAACACCTGAAGAGGGAAAAGAAGAAGGTTTAAACCATAAACAATTAAATAATGAATTAATTATTTAGTTTTTAATAATTCTTTTTCTATATGAAGCCACTCTTAATAACTTTGATTTTCTATAATTCAACAAGAGCTCCAGTCTCATTCTGAGAGTCTCCAAAGCAGTTCTGAGCCAGTTTTGTGTCCCCTGTGAGATCTGAAACCAAAATATCACCATTGACTTTTTAGATTCATTCTTTCATTCAACCTTTATTTATACAGGCCTCATTGAGCCACAGGGACTCATTTACAAGCGAGACCTGTTCCAGACAGAACATTTAAAGTACAGACAACAAAACAGTAGACAATGACAACAATAAACTACAGTAAAAAAAAATGCAGTTAAAATAAGAGTAGTGTACAAAACAATAAATCAGGGTGCTGTAAAAATGTTGTAGATTTTTATTAGATTTAGTGTCTTATCAGATGTTGAACAGGGTTATTATCTGGTCAGTTTCAGTGTTCATTTATTTGTTTTTTTTTCTTAGCTGATTTGCAGTGTAGCAGGACACATTATATGACCTGCCTAAATAAGCTGATGGATATTGAACATTACAATGAATGTCAAGACCAGAGTTTTCCTTACAGATTTTGTTGTAGTGAAGGACCTGAGCGCATTCATGTCCTGCTTTAGAAAGTCTTCCAATAGAACTACGAATTAAGTTTTTACTCAGAATATATATTTATTTTAAATATTTATAAATAACTGTTTAAAGTTGCATCGTACTGTATGTGTCATAATAATCAACTGCTTGCTATTTTATAAGGGAACTTGGGAATTAATATTTATAAACAAGTTTAAACCTAGTTATATGCTGCATGTTGTTGGAGTTTTTGTAAATGAAACAAAATCACAGAATAAGATAATAAGTTGCTAAAAGGCCTATTTTTAAAGTAGCAAGCATTAAACACATGTCAGGTGCTCCTAATTAGCATCAAACAGTATGTGAGATATACTTTTGTATGGTTGATTTAATGAATGTCCTTGCAATTGTCTTTAGGGACCTTCTGTCTAATTGATGTGTGGTTTCATGTGTTGTGAATAGGGGCTGTCGGAGTCCCCAGATCTTGAGTTTGAATATTCTGATACAGACAAATGGGCTGCAGAGCTGTCAGGTGTGTATGTTTATGATTTCTGAACACGCATACCGGTAAATGTTTTTTTTTTTAAACTTATTAAAAAAATGTTTCAGAGCTTTACAGTTACACTGAAGGACCCGAGTTTGCTCTCAACAGGAAGTGCTTTGAGGATGAATTCAGAGCTCACGGTACGTCTTTATGAATGCATGAAACCAGATAAAGAAGGTACTCGTGTTGTAACGGTGTATTTTTCTCTTTCCCTGCTGCGCCTCAGTGTCCGATAAGAAGTGGACAGAGCTAGATGCAGCTGAGCACAGAGCTCATGCCATGCGTCTGCTGGACGGTCTGGAGGTCACTGCTCGTGAGAAACGACTAAAGGTTGCCAGGGCCATCCTCTACATGGCTCAGGGTCAGTGCACGGCAGTTTTCACTTATTTTAAGCAAAACAACACGTTGCAGCGATCAACGTAGATATGTCTTTGTGCATATCACCCTTGATACAAGTCTTTTTTTTTTTTTGGTGCAGGAACCTTTGGAGAGTGTAGCTCTGAGGCCGAGGTGCAGCACTGGATGAGATACAACATATTTCTGCTGCTTGATGTGGGGACCTTCTCTGCTCTAGTGGAACTACTGAACATGGAAATTGAGTATGTTCTGTATGAGATGTCTATTGTTGTCTTCATTCTTTGTTGAAATCAGGTCTCTCTTGTAAATGAGTCCTCGAGACTCAATGGGATTAACCTGTCTAAATAAAGGTCGAATGAATGAGTTAATCTGAATTTAATAATGTTAGTTGTAGCTATGTAATTGTCAAGAGGCATCACAACCTGTACGACAGCACATTACAGGAATTTAAATTAGAAGCAGGTTTAAGTTTTGTAGCTTTAGATAGATTAAAAAATAATTCATGTAAAAAAAAAAAAAAATTTGTTCTTTGCTTTGTGAAGTTTCCAGTCGTTTTATGTTGAACATTATCAGTTCACCTTCTGTTTTTCAGTAACAGCGCTGCCTGCAGTAGTGCGGTCAGAAAACCGGCCATCTCCCTCGCTGACAGCACAGACCTCAGGGTGCTGCTCAATATAATGTACCTGATTGTAGAGATGATACAACAGGACGATCCAACCAATAAACCCGAGTGGAAAATCTTGAGGGAAACCTTTAGAGCAGAATTAGGTAAATGTTCTTCTGCAGTTGTTAGTTTTGATCAAAATTTGATCTGTTGACTAAATCCATCTTGACGTTTTCATTCAGGATCTTCTTTGTTCAACAACGAGCCCATTTCTGTCATGCTCTTTGGTATGGTCACCAAGTTCTGCAGCGGCCACGCGCCTCACTTTCCAATGAAGAAGGTCCTCCTATTGTTGTGGAAGAGCATACTGGTGAGAAGGCGATAATAAACACAGCTTATATAGATTAAAATAAATGATCAGATCTGTAAAGTAGGGGTTGAACGACTACATGATTTTTAAAGTCGACTTCAACATGATAAAAGTCGAGTCAACGTCGACTAGTCTATGACGTCATAGGAACTCAAGACTATATCATATTCACAAAAAAAAATAAAAATTTGAAAAAAAATGTAGTCATTTTTTATTTACAAAAAAAAAAAAGAACAAAACATCGGACATATATTTATGCTCCTGCCATATATCATACTGCAAATAAGTTCCAGGAAAACCAAAACTATTATTTAGCTGCAAAGGTGAAAGAAGCGTGTGGCTAGTAAAAGACAAGGCTAAGAACAACGGGACGGGCGGTGGTGGACGTCTTGCTGTTTTTAGTTTTATTTTATTTAATCCATCACCGTGGATTGGGTGGAATGGAACTGAGGGCAGCGGGGCGGGCGTTGGTGGAGCACCGTATTATAATATTATTAGTTATTAATGGTCATCGGCTGCGCGCGTCTACTGACGCAGTGGAAGAGTTGCACTCAGGTCCAAATAATCTGAACCAACACGGCCTCAGCCCGCAGCCATCATCTCTGAATCCCACCCGATTCAACGAATTAACAGTAATTACAGGTCCGAACCCGAAAAAAACCCCAAACAGTTTTAATTAAGCTTTGACTGCTTATACCACCGACTATTATTAATGTTCGGCGGACGCGCGCAGCTGAGGGGGCAGAAGATCAGAGCTGAGGAGCTCTCAAAGTGCATTAAATGCTTCCCCTGCTTCTGCCTGCATCCTGCTCTGACATGTTGGATATTTTGTGATCTCACCTGTTTGGGTTGTCGGCCGCTGAGTGCAGCGGCTGAATGAACGTCCATTTGGGCTGATGGATCGTTGGCAGTAGTCCATCTGAAGCTCAACTGAATTTTTTACCTCTTTCAACCAGCTGATCAGCACGCGGTTAAATGGCCATGTGCGGCAAGTGTAGTATGGCAAGCCATGTTTGCATATATTGGATCGTCTGCGGCAATAAAAAGCCTGACACCAACCCGGCCCACACATTAAGCACATTATTATGGCCCAGTCCGAATCCGGGTCGGGCGGGGCCGGGTTAGAAATGACAGCTCTACGCAGCGGCTGGGTCCAGATAAGCTGCAGGTGGGTCGCTGGCGGTCATCCGTCTGGACTTTTTTGTACCTCTTTTAACCGTCCAGTCAGCGCGGCTGGTGGTAATCCAGATTGGATCATCAGCCAATCAAAAGCCTGACACCAACCGGTGCATCCAGCACATTACTTTGGCTCTGGCCGGGCACAGCCGTGTTAGACATGACAGTTCTACCGCCCCACTGTTTTTAGTTTTATTTTATTTTATCCACCACGTGAATTGGGTGGAATAGGGCTGGGAACAGTGGGGATGGTGGTGGTGGGGGGGGGGGGGGGGGGGGGGGGGTTGTGACTGTGACTAGTCAACGTGAAATTTAAAAACTTGCGAGATGTCCTAGAATCGACTATTCTGTTCAACCCCTACTGTAAAGAAGTGTCCTGCTGTATAATCCCTCTCTCGTGTTTCAGTTCACACTCGGAGGGTTTGAGCAGCTTCAGAGCATAAAGGTCCATAAGCGTGAGGAGCTGGGACTCCCCCCTCTCCCAGAGGACAGCATTCGAGTCGTTCGCAGCATGAGGGCAGCTTCTCCTCCAGCCTCGGCGTCTGATCTCATCGAACAGCAGCAAAAACGAGCTCGACGTGAGCACAAGGTACTCGCTACAGCTTTTACATAGGTTCTGGTGAAACAATCAGTCAGGGCAAGCTGAAGTGAATAATTTTTGTTTCTGTTGTGGAGAAAAAGACAACAAACAAAAGCTATCAGCAGGTGACGCATCATGTTGACATTTTAAAGCTCTTTGCAGGCCTTTGACTATCACAGTCCCTGGAACAGTGAATGCATCAGTTTGTCAGTGAGACTAAAGGAGAGGCTGTTTTTTATTTTGTGTTGTAGAAATCATCCTCAAAGCTCAACTTCTTACTGAAGGATTTATTTTTAAACTAAGCTGCTCCAAACAATGTGTATTAGATGTTTATTTTTCAGAATTGTGACCTCCAATTATACTTTATTCTCCCGAGTGAACCAAAAGGAGTATTTCCAAAAATGAACTAGTTTCTCTGTAATTTTTAGATTTAGACACAATCAATACATTTTGCACGTATTCCTGGACATTACTCATGTTTTTGTTTATGTTCAAAGCATTTATTATTTAAAGCTGAGCCTCCTTCGAACCTTTAAGTGCATGTCTCCATATTATGTCAATCCAAATATGTTTTGTAATTTCATTGAGTTGTTTCCCAATTAATCATTTAGGACCATTTCTCAAGTTCTTTTTTTTTTTTTTAAGCTTAGTTCTATATTTGATGTCATAGTTTTAATCCATAGTTTTAGTCTCGATGTAATAAAAAAAAGTCTTGTCATTTATTTGCCTCAGGCTCTGATCAAGCAGGACAATCTGGATGCTTTCAATGAGAAGGATCCCTACAAGGCAGATGATTCCCGGGATGACGAGGATGACAACGATGACAACGACAACTCTTTAGAGCCGGAGACATTCCCTATAGAGAGAGACGAGGTGATGCCTCCCCCCATTCCTCACCCTCCATCAGAGAGGGTGTCCTTTCCTAAAGGTCTGCCCTGGGCCCCCAAAGTCAGGTACTGTTCAGTCTCCCCAGACCAACACACTGACTTCCTAACGTTTATAGTCGAAGCTGATGAACAGATTTGAAGATTATTCTTTTGTTAGTTCTTCCTTTAAATGCTGCTTGCAGAGACAACAAATCAAGATTTGAGACATTTCTGACATTTTCTTTGTTCTTTTTTATTTATTTATTTTTGCTCCAACAGGGAAAAAGATATAGAAAGTTTTCTGGAATCAAGCAGAAGTAAATTCATTGGTTACACACTTGGGAGGTGGGTCTAACATAAAGCATATTATAAGTGACTTTACGTACACATTCTGAGATAATAAAGATATTTGTTTCTCTCTGCTCCTACGGACATCTTGCAGTGATACAGATACGGTGGTTGGTTTACCCCGGCCGATTCATGAGAGCATCAGGACACTAAAACAGGTATGACGATGTGCTTCATGTCATCTATATTTTTGATTTTCTGCATGTAATCTTTAAAAAAAAACTGCAATAATTGTTAGTGCTATTGGCATTTATTAGATTTACCTCCCTCCATTTCCAGCACAAGTATGTTTCTATAGCGGAACTGCAGATTGCAAAAGAGGAGGAATACCAGAAAACTCCCCTCTCTGTTGTAAGTGGAAATGAACTCTAACAAAATTATAAAGGTCTGAACGGTAATACGTTGTGTTGGAAAAGGCAGGTCTTAAAGGTGACTGTGTTCTTTATTCTTGTCCTTTCTGTTTCCTCACTGACAGGGTGAAGAGGAAGTGGAGATGTGTGCCACTGAGCTGCTCTATCAGGGAATTCTGCCCAGTTTGCCTCAATACATGGTCAGTGTTTCATGAAGGGTTTATTGTGTGTTACTGTGGGGATATTTAATTTAAAAACCTTGATATAACTCTAGAAAAACAATTAAAACACTCTTTAATATGCTGTATTATTATTATTTTTATCACACTGTGTATGAAAGTACTCCTTGAGTTTTAGCTCTATCTCTAAAGAAGAGCCAGCTACCCTGTGGCGAAAACACTTTTCCAACGCTTGTATCCACATTCTCGTTGTTTTAATCACTAACCAGAGTCTGTGACCGTAGCTGAGGGTAGGAACATGGACTGATTGGTAAACGGAGAGCTTCACCTTGCAGCTCAGCTTCCTCTTCACCACATCAGACCGGCACAGAATCCACAATACTGCGCATTCGTCTGTCAATGTCACGCTTGACTAGATTTAGTCTGTACCTCTCAACCTTACGCACAAACTCAGGCTCCTTCTCTACCAGAGAGGTCCATGTCTTCAGATCCAGCTTTTTAAGCTAGAGGCAGCTAATTCAATATAAAGGCCATCGGGCCAAGTACTTTCTTTTAAAAATACATATTGGATCAAATCCTATGAACTATAGTTGTAAGTATAATAATGTCAAATGTCTCTGCTTGTTTCTTTGTCTGACTCTTGTCCTGGTGTTTCTGAATGTTAGATTGCGCTGCTGAAGATCCTGCTGGCCGCTGCTCCGACCTCCAAAGCCAAAACGGACTCCATTAACATCTTGGCCGATGTGCTGCCAGAGGAGATGCCGTACGTGGACCGAACATTGAAACTGCCATGTTTTTAAAAACAACCCAAAAGTCTTACAGCTTTTCACATGAATGCTATTTAATGCTACTTTGGCTGTTTGCAAACAGCAGCAGGATCTAGCTGTTGCACTTCTGTCAAGAATATTACAATGTTTTTACCTCATTAATCAAAACTGATGGTGATGTAAAGGTTCATGGAACAGTGTTCACGTGAATCACTGTGAAATATTTTACGATTGGAGTTGTTTTAGAAGAACAGTAATTCACTTTAGTCTTGAATTATCTTAATTAGCTGTTGAATCCTGTAAAAGTGTTTCTCTAAACGTTTCTCTAAAAGATAATCACAACAGGTAACATATTTACTGTTTATAAACTTTGCACAGAACCCTATTTCAAAAGATTTGAGCTGTTGATTGAAGTGGAGAGGAATTTATTGGTGTGTATTTTAAAAAATTAAAATGTGTCTCAGTATAGAGATTTAAATTTGTGTCTGGTTTGAGCTTATAAGATGCTATTAAGTTATTCAGAAAGATAATGCAGCAAACATATCCATGATGGGAGCACAATTTGAACAGATGCATGTCTAAATGCACACCCACAGTGTGAGGATGCAACTTTCTGTAGAAAAGGGACGCTGTAGGAAGAGATGATGCTTTAAAGCTTCGTAAAGTCTGACTCTGACCAGTCCTGTACTCCTGTCTCCCTCTGCAGGACGACGGTTCTGCAGAGCATGAAACTCGGCGTCGACGTCAATCGGCACAAAGAAATCATTGTGAAAGCCATCTCTGCCATCCTGCTGCTGCTCCTGAAACACTTTAAACTAAACCACATCTACCAGGTGAGGTCTCCTCACGGTGGTGAAAACATTTCACGTGAAGAAAATGACCCGTTTAACTGAACCGAGCCGGTCTTTGTGTGGATGTTTTCTTAGTTTGAGTACATGGCTCAGCACCTGGTGTTTGCAAACTGCATCCCGCTCATCCTGAAGTTTTTCAACCAGAACATCATGTCCTACATCACAGCTAAGAACAGGTCCTTCAGAGGTCTTTTTACTTATTGAAAAGTATTAGTCCTGTGATTGAGTCTTTGTTCTAAATGTTTTTTTCTCCATCAGCATTTCTGTACTTGATTTTCCACACTGTGTGGTGCACGAGCTGCCAGAGTTAACTGCAGAGAGTTTGGTGAGGGTTTTTTTTTCAGCTTTTACTTGTGATTTTATTTAGTTTTTGATATTTTCTTTGACTCTGAATGATCTCTGCGTTGCAGGAAGCTGGAGACAACACTCAGTTCTGCTGGAGGAATCTGTTCTCTTGTATCAACCTGCTGAGGATCCTGAACAAATTGACCAAGTGGAAGCACTCCAGGACAATGGTGGGAGAACCTCACATCGAACCTGAACAGAACCCCGGCTCGTATGTGTTTGTAATGGACTTCTCTTCCAGATGCTGGTTGTGTTCAAGTCGGCTCCCATCCTGAAGAGGGCGCTGAAGGTCAAGCAGGCCATGATGCAACTCTACGTCCTCAAGCTGCTCAAAGTGCAGACCAAATACTTGGGCCGGCAGTGGAGGAAGAGCAACATGAAGACCATGTCTGCCATTTACCAGAAAGTCCGTCACCGCCTTAATGACGACTGGGCTTATGGAAACGGTGAGAGGAATGGGAAGCTTAATTTTTTTTCGGTCAAAATATAAATATATATTGTTTGTTGATAATCATCCAAAAGATGGAGGAATACTGGTTTGACAGGAGAGTTTTGCTATATCAGTTACTTGTAGCATCCATTAGCCAATACAATTTAAAAAAAAGTTTAGTGCGAACGTTGTGAACACAGTTTATGCACCTCTTTACATTTTGAGGTCACATCAGTTTGTGAGCTGCTAGAACTAAATTTCACAAGTCGAGGTTTGACAGATCATCAGCTGGCCATATAAGCAGAATATAGGCCTTTTAATTCATTAATTTTTATTTTTTTTGGCCAACCTTTGATCAAAGTTGGCGACCTGTAGTGCTCCAGTCTCTGTGGGTTGTCTCTAAGGAGGTATCTCAGGGGCTGCACCTGCCGTGGTTGGAACCAGGAAGTTTTGTGGCCATGCTTTGGTTTTGACCAGTTTTATTTTTAATAATTATTTATCATCTGCGCTGTTTTCAGACCTGGGCATGTTTTCTGTCAGAGCAGAGCTCCTGTTCTTCCTATGACTCTATTTTTAAAGATATGTTCAAAATTCCAGAGACACTCTTTCGAGTCTCGTGAGAATGATTCACGTGAACGTGTTTTTACAGATTTTTGTTTTGTGTTGTATGATTTCATGTGTGGTTTACTAAAACTAAACAATCTTGTCAAAGTTAAGTCAGGTCCTCTGGACGGTTTCTTTTGAAACATTTCGTCTTTCATCCAAAAGACTTCGTCAGTCTGAAGATGGTCGACCCAAACTGGTTGACCCACTTTGTAAGGTGCTGTTTATAAGTCTGAGTTTGTTGTGGCTCCTCAGACTGATGAAGTCTTCTGGATGAAAGACGAAACGTTTCAACAAAAAGAAACCGTCCAGAGGACCTGACTTAACTTGGTTGGATTTTTTTTTTAACCTGGATTATCGAGCATGAACTTTGATAAACAATCTTGTGTTTTTATACTCTTTAAGTAATAGCAGGGTTATAGAGCTCTGGTTTAGCCGCGTTTCCTCAGAACTGAGTTTGACCTGCCGTTTGTTTCCGGGGACAGATCTGGACGCTCGTCCCTGGGACTTCCAGGCTGAGGAGTGCGCTCTGCGAGCCAGCATCGAGCGCTTCAACAGCCGCCGCTACGACAAGAGCCACAACAATCCCGACTTCCTGCCCGTGGACAACTGCCTGCAGAGCGTTCTGGGACAGCGAGTGGACCTGCCCGAGGACTTCCAAATGAACTACGACCTTTGGCTGGAGCGCGAGGTCTTCTCCAAACCCATTTCCTGGGAGGAACTGCTGCAGTGAAAAACGGTTCTAGTTTCCAGTTCGGATTAAACAACCTTATCTCTGATCGATCTTCAGCCGCTGAACTATGTTGCGTGTTCTGATGGACGGGTTTCCTTTGAGGATCCAGCCGAGTCCTTTTGCCTTTAAGACATTTAGTATTAATATTATGTAACCCAAAAGGAAAGCAGAGGGTTTTCTCTCTGCCCAAACTTTTCAGAGATAATGTTTTTATAACTAAACTGCATCTGGGGGCTCAATCCTAATCCAGATTTTACATTTCCAGGGATTAATATATTTCGGTGTGCCTCTTTTCTGCCACAGCAGGTCAGTAGATGAGCTAAGAGCGCTTCATGACGGTTTAAGAAAAATATCTGTAGTAGATTTTATGTATTAACTCGTAAAAGATGAACTTGTGTTTAAATAAATCTCATTTGTGGATTTTCTATTGTTTAATCTCCCTCAGGAAGGGTCTGTGTGGTCAGAAGGACAAACATCGACTTCATTGTTGTTTCAGCTGTTTATCAAGTTAGCCTCATTTTTTTTATATCATCCCGAGGGTCTCAGTTGAGCTCCGACTTGTCGCCTTCGCTCTGGGACCACGGAGACCTTCATGTGGACTTTAGGACGGTGAAAGAACAGCTTTGACCTTTGACATGAAATAAGAAACCTTGTTTGCTTTGATGTGAAAGAAACATTCATAGTTTCTGATTTCTTGTTTTAACTGAAGCAGAAAACATTCATTTAATTAGGAGTTACAGAACAATTTCTTTTTTTCCTTCCACTGACCTTCATATTTTGTTTCATTTGTTTTTATTAGAAAAGTTAAAAAATATATAAATACATGTAAATTGTGAAACCTATTTATCATGGCTTTTGTCTTTGTTTTACATGAACCTAAATACTGTAATAAAATTATACTTGCCTTCATGCTGACGTTTTCTTTTTCAGTCATGACTTTTTCTTTATTTATTTTGCATTTTTCAGACGGTGGTGATGCAACACATGAAAAAGAACAGCTTTGTTGAATAAAATCAAGGTTTTCAGTGATTTAAACAAGAAAATATTCATCAACCTCAGGACAGGAATGCATACAATACATTTAGGAGCCCAGATAACATCTTATTTTTCAGTAATTTGTCAGATATGTATTTACTCAGAGAAGGGGTGTCTGACCCTGGTCCTCGAGGGCTTCTATCCCTGCTCCATCACAGAAGCAGGAAACGAGCAGAACGTGCAGGATCATGATCCTCGACAGCCAGGACTGGACGCCCCTGACTCAGAACTCATTTATGCTGTTCGGAATCTGCACAGCCAGGGACCCTGCTGCTCGACAGTCCTCCTTGCAGCAGTTAGTGGACACCCCGTCTCACTTTTCGACTTGACCCAGCCAAGCCCCAGGAGCCAAGGGTCAACCACCATGTTCAAGCTCCCCCTCCAGGCCAGGCTCCAGGGGTGAGCCCCAGTTTCCCTTTTCGGGCAAGGTTTCCTGAAACATATCTATCCATCAAAGTCTTTGAATCGTTCCCTTGAATCCTGTGTGCCATGGGAGACTCTACCACGGCCTAATGGCACAAAAAATACAGCCCCCAGGATCATGGAGGATACTCAAGCCCCTCCACCACATTATGGCGCATCCCACTGAGAAAAGGCCCAAGGGCAAACCCAGAATTCACAATCCTCTCTGGCCCAGGAATGCCTTGAGGAGCTGCAGCGTTCCTGGAGAAAGGTGGGCCTGGGTTTCCCTCCTGAACCTGTTGCCTCCATGACCCAACTACGGACAAGGGGTAGAAGATGGAAATGGAAAAAGTAAAAACACATCTCTCCTTCAAACTGAGTAAAACTTGATACTCAAGGTAAAGTTATTTTGCTGCAGTAGATATTAAATAAATATTAGAGGAAGTGATTGTAGGGAGCCATTTAGTTTGTTCGGAGGGCAGACAGAACCTGAAGAGCAACAAAGACCACTTTGAAAGATTTCAAGAAAGTCTGGCTGCTTGGAAGCAAAATATAAACCAATTCAGTTTGTGTTCAGATACTCCTCCCCCGTTGACTTTCACTTCATTTTGAAACAGATTCAAACATTTTAGCCACACCCACTTCCACTTTGAATTCAACAAATCATTTGTGGGTTTAGTCTGTTTTGAGGAAACGAAACGAAGAGTGTAGAACAGAACCCGCCTTTCTTCACACAAACATGGCAGAGCCTCACCTTCCTGTAAGCATCAGCTGGCTCTGCTGTCGGATCTGCACCCAGATCCTCCGGGAACCCGTGACCATCCCCTGTGGACACAACTTCTGCCTGTGGTGCATCGATGACAGCTGGGACAGAGTCCAGACACACTTCAGCTGCCCTGAATGTCAGCAGAGGTTTCCCTCCAGACCTGCTCTGATCAGAAACACAACTCTGGCTGAGGTGGTGAGAAACACCAGAAGAAGAGAGCAGCATCCTGCAGGGCCCCCGACAAAGAGGGCCCGGAGCAGCAGTGCGGGAACATCTGGCAGGACCTGGTGCTGGCGACACATGAGCCCCCTGGATGTTTACTGCTGCACAGATGAGAGGATCATCTGCACTCAGTGCGCTTCAGACGAGCACACTGGACACAGGATCTGTGTGGTGGGGCTGATACGGATCCAGAACCAGGTACAGAACCAAAACAGAACAAAGAAATATCCTGACACATGCTCAATAATCCAGAACAAAGAAATGCAAGTTGATTACTGAGGAGGAAGACCTGCTCAGATGGAGACAAAGAACAAAACAAGAGTCAACCTATGCGTTCAGGCAGGAATATGACTCAGCTTCACCATCATACACACACATGCTGTGGCTGAGTGGTTAGAGCAGTCGTCCTACAATGCAGGAGTTGTGGGTTCGACTCCACCAACAGTCACATGTCGAAGTGTCTCAGGGCAAGACACTGAACCCCTCGTTGCCTCTGATGTGTGTCCCATCAGTGTATGAATGTGATAAAGCACTGATTATTCTTTGTAGAGCTAGTAGAGTGCTGTATGAATGGGTAAATGAGGACACAGATTGTGTTGTAAAGAGCTTTGAGTATCTTGATAAGATAGAAAGGTGCTATATAAGTACAGTCCATTTACATACACACAGCACACTTATCATTCATTCATTCTGGGATATTGCTTTTGAAAACTTTAATTCCTCTTTTTCTGGATGTAAATCACTTTTTTATCATTATTCCTCTGGTATCTGATTCTGTGCAGCTGGAAGGATTTTTTACTGAAACGTTTTTTACTTTTGGACATTTGTTATGATGAGTAACCATGGCAACAAGTTTTTTTGTTAGTTTTTTTACAACCAGGAACAGCTGATTAACATCTCAAAAGCTCAAATAATACCTCAACTACAGCCCAAAGTCCCAAATGAGTTGTAAAGGAGGTGTCGTGGGTGCATTGCCGTCTACCCGGTGGCAGTGCTCAAGTACCTGACTGCCGAGATCCTGGAACTGGTGGAAAACGTGTCTCCTGACAACAAGAAGACCAGTTTCATACCCTGACACCTGCGGCTGGCTGTCTGCAATGATGAGGAGCTCAACAAGCTGCTGGAAAGAGTGATTATTGTTCAAGGAGGAGTTCTGACCAACATTCAGGTAGTCCTGCTGCCCGGGAACACCGAGAAACCTGCTAAATCCAAGTACATGATCAACATCTACGGCCAGTTTCTTCATATCCACTGTAAGACAGATCACGACAGGAGATCCTTCCGGTCCACAGACATAATTCATTCATTTATTCATTCAACCTTTATTTAAACAGTTAAGTCACATTGAGCCTCAAAGACTCATTTACAAGTGAGACCTGTTTGGACAGACAATAAAAAGTGGTGAAAAATGACACATAGGGTTTGGAGACAAAAAATTCCTAACACACTTTTAAGCTCTGTTTGAAGGTCAACAGTGTGATAATGAAAAAAAGATCTCGCACAAGAGCACATAATGACACTGACATTACATGGGGGGTGGGGGGGTGGAGCAAGGGTGGTGAGCATGTCCAGAGACAGCACACAGAGGCACTACAGAGTTCAGATAAAATCACTTGGTTCAAATAGTTCCCTCTGGGGGTGCCGAGGATGACCAGAGACAAATCCAGAGTCCTGCAATGATGACAGAATGTTTATTCAGTGGGGCTCCTCTAAAAAGTCCATGGAAATTCCTCAGTAGGAGAGGAGGGAGGGGTTAGAGCATCAGGCTTACAAAACTTTCCAGGCGGGTTGAGATAAGATGGCCTGTCAAGGTCAGTCAGGGAGCCGAATTCAGATAAACACGATTGTTTTGGGGACGGGCAGAACTTGAATGGCATCTACCTTGAGTCTGTGTCAGTTTACTCGCTTCCAAAATGTCCAAATTAAATGAAAATACCAATGGAACGTGCATGAGAATAATCCCCAAGATCTGATCCATTCTGCCAAAAGTCTGGGTGCTCAAGGCACGAACCAAGCCATCATATAAGGCAGGCAGCCTGACCAGGTCCAGATTTGCTGCAGATGACTTCCTTGTTTGTTGATAGACCAGGAACCAGCCGAATCCAAAAAGCAGGAACCAGTTATCATAAATCCAATTATAAATGTGTCCTTATCATTCATTCATTCATTCATTCAACCTTTATTTAGACAGGTTAATCCCATTGAGTCTCAAGGACTCATTTACAAGAGAGACCTTAAAATCTACAGATGACAGCAGAGATAGACACGTCATCAAGTCTTCAAAGTCTATAAGATATCCATCTGTTTGCATGCCAACAGGGCAAATCGTCTCACCTAAAGCCTGCCTTCTCTTCAAAGAAATATAAATTGTGTTGAGGGACCAACTGACCAAGTCCATAGTTATGATTCGGAAAATTTGTAGAAGAGAGGCTCTAAAGCAGTTTCACAGACAGACAGAGCAAAAGCAAAGTGGAGAGAGAGAGGAGGAGATGTCTGCCCTTGAGAAGAGCAAGTGTTGATCATCTATAACAACTTTAATGAAACCAGGATGATGAGTTACAACAACGTTTAATTTCCCTTTGGGATTAGTATTTTTGAATGTAATTTGAATTTGAATCTGTAGCAAAAAGTTGCTTAAACAAGACCTCAGACCATGTTTTTTTAACCCGTTCAGAGGACCTGACTTAACTATTTTAGACTTTTCTACCTGGATTATTGAGCATGCGTCAGGATAAGACCTCAGACAAGTTTTTGAAGTTTAAGGCTGACCTGAATCTGGAGGAGAACACATCGAGACTTCTCTGATTTTATTTGCAACTTGAACTTTTGAGCTGCAGTCACACGTCTTTAGCCTCAAACAGAACGCAGCTTGAATAGTTAAAATATTACACGAAAGTCCAGAGTGTACCAAGAACGCCTCTAGAATGGTCCCTGATAAAGAATAGAATGATGGTGATGTTGATCAGGTGCAGAAAATTTCCAGTGGCTGTGTTTTTATCATTCGGCGATGTTCTGAATCACATCTGGTTGACCAAAAGTTTCCATCTGCATTCTCGACGCACTCCAGCAGGAACTGAATGATTCGGACGGGATTCCAAGTGCATCTGAGCCAGATTGTTTTATTTACAAATAGATTTTGTGGCATTCAAGACATCTTTAGAATGCCGTATGGATCCCATAAGAACACTTAGTATGTTAAGCTTTCAAAATAAAATCAACAAAGCAAAGCTAAACAAATCACTGCTCAGCATAGTGTAGGATACAGAGTTACTCTTTTTCAGGCTGAATGAAAGCATTCAAGTGTCTTATTGTCTTGACTAACTCCTTCAAATTAATCATGCCTCTTTATCCAACGTTAGGAGGAGCTGAGCAGGATCCAGTCAGAGCTCAGGCAGGTTCTCAAGGAGCAGGAGAAGAAGCTAGAGAAGATCTATCAGCAGATTAATGTAAGGAAGTTACAACTTATATTTGTTTGTTCCAGTTCAACAAAGCTCTGATCTTCTTGATCCTCTTCTGTTGGGTCTGAAACAGGAGGAGGTCAGAGACACTGAGGACCAGTGTGAAGGTGTGCTGGTCAGAGTCACCGAGTGCCTTCAGAAGCATTATCTGTCAGTGAGGAGGCTGATCAGAGCTCAGGCCCAGAACGCTACAGCTCGGGCTCCTACCCTCCAGACAAAGGTGGAGGAGTTGAAGATGATGGATGCTGAGCTGGACTGCCTGAAAAAAAATAAAGATAATGTTCAGTTTCTGCAGGTATTACATTTACTACACTAGAAACTTTAAATATCAGGGTAACAAGTCATCTCTGCATTGATACATCTGGCTTCCTCTGACAGAAGTGGACCCAAGTGAAGAACCTCTGTGAAGAACACCTCCAGTTTTTCAATGAGGATTTACTGGCCCCCTTTGAGGTGACAAAGAGGGCCGTCGAAAAGCTTGGGAGGGAATTGCAGGAATTCTGTGATGAACAATTTGCCTCCATCTCTCACACCTGTATGTATGTTTTACTGACATATTGAAAATTGTCTGACATGTTGAAGTATTGTTATAAAAATGTGCACTCTTGTTTTGTGAAGGTGTAGAAGAGGAGGAATCAGATGAAGAGGAAAGCAGTGACGCCAGCTCCCCACAGTCCTGTGGTTTGTATACCTGAATCTGTTACCTGCATCTGTTACCTGCATCTGTTACCTGAATCTGTTACCTGAATCTGTTACCTGCATCTGTTACCTGAATCTGTTACCTGCATCTGTTACCTGCATCTGTTACCTGAATCTGTTACCTGCATCTGTTACCTGAATCTGTTACCTGCATCTGTTACCTGCATCTGTTACCTGAATCTGTTACCTGCATCTGTTACCGGAAACTCAAAATCTTGTGCTTTTGTGACAACGTTTTATTGACTAGAGACTGAAATTCATGTTCAGTATTTGCATACTCAAATTGACCCTTAAAAAGTTATCAATTGTATCAACAAATCAAGTGAAACTTTAGATTCACTCCAGAGTGGGTAGATTTTATTCATAAAAAAAAAGACTAACCAATCAACCAAATCCAATTAACCAACAAACCAACCAACCAAATCTAACTAAGCAACAAATCAACTAAATCTAATCAACCAACTAATCAATCAATTTTAATCACCCAATCAAGCAAATCTAACCAACCAACAAAATCTAACCAACCAATCAACCAAATCTAACCAACCAAATTTAACTAACAAACCAACCAACTAAATATAATCAACCCACTAACCAAATTTAACTAACCAGTCCACTAACCTAATTTGACAAACCCAATTTAACAAACCTGTCGGAAAATTCTCAATTTGTACGCATCCTTTATAATTGTCTATTATTGTCTTTGTTGTCCATTGTTGTCATCATTCTTTGTTGAAATCAGGTCTCTCTTGTAAATGAGTCCCCGAGGCTCAATGGGATTAACCTGTCTAAATAAAGGTTGAATGAATGAATTAAGGAAAATAACAACAAACCATTCAACTGAATTCAACCAACCAACAAACAAACAAACAACATTTAACCAACCAATCAACTAACCAAATTTAATTAACTAACCAACCAACCATTTAACTAACCAACCAACCAAATTTAACTAACCAATCAACCAAATCTAGTCAACATAATCTAAACAACCAACCAACTAAACCTAATAATCCAACCAATTAAATGCAACTAACCTACCAACCAAATGTAACTAACTAACCAACCAAATAACCAAATGTAACTAACTAACCAAACAAATGTAACTAACCAACCAGCTACATTTAACAAACAAACCAACTAACTACTGTATATATATAATCAACTAACTAACTAACTAACTAACTAACTAACTAACTAACTAACTAAC